GTTCTCTAAGTGTTCTCCATATGACTTTCCAAAAGGGACGTATTAGTTTGCATTCCCACCAGCAGTGTAGAAGTGTTCCCTTTTCTCCACAACCCTGCCAGCATCTGTGATTTTGGGATTTTGTGATATGGGCTAATCCTACTGGTGTTAGATGATATCTCAAAGTAGTTTTGATTTGCATTTCTCTGATGATTAGGGATGATGAGTATTTTTTTCATATGTCTGTAGGCCATGCATCTGTCTTCTTCAGAGAAGTTTCTCTTTAAGTTTCTTGCCCACCCTGAGATGGGATCGCTTGTTCTCTTCTTGCTAATATGTTTGAGTTCTCTGTGGATTCTGGTTATTAGACCTTTGTCAGAAGCATAACCAGCAAATATCTTTTCCCATTCTGAGGGCTTTCTGGTGGCTTTTCTTACTATGTTCTTGGCTGTGCAGAAGCTTTTTAATTTGAGGCGGTCCCAGTAGTATATTTTTGATGTTGCTTCAATTGCCCGGGGGGTCCTCCTCATGAAATATTCGCCCAGGCCAATTTCTTCAAGAGTTTTCCCTACACTTTCTTCTAGTATTTTTATAGTTTCATGTCTTAAATTTAAGTCTTTAATCTAGTTAGTGGTGACAAGTGTGGGTCCAGTCTTCTGCAGGTCCCCAGCCAGTTTGTCCAGCACCATTTGTTAAATAGGGAATCTTTTCCCCACTCAATGTTTAGTAAATTTTGTTGAAAGAAAAGTTAATGGAAATGACAATAGATTTGGTGGTCAAGTTCTTCAGTATCAGACAGGACATCAGTATAGAAAGGAATGGTAAAATCAGAGGAAGTCATCTGCCCTACATACGAATGGGCACTGAAGAACGCTTTAACAGCCTAAAGTTATCCTCCCATTAAGCTTTCCATTTTCACAGTTTTTTGCTGGGAGTAAATTTCTGATGCTACAAAAAATACTGCTGTCAGACAACAGAGGCAGGGTGACACTATAACCAAAAGACTTTTGCTAAAATGTTCTTTGCTTCTGTGCTAAGTTGACCAGCATTTGCACGTTAGAACAAATTTAACAAACTAGTTAAATTTATAAAGGCCCCAGAAAGACTGATTTTCAGAGGACAGGACATGAAATGAGGAAGGGTACTGCTGATATGAAGCTGTGGGCATCTAAAATGAACATTCTGAGTAAACCATAGGATAGTCTATGAGATAAAGGAATTTAAAAAAAGACGTGCTGAGCGGTGTCTGTGGCTCAGTGAGTAGGGCGCCAGCCCCATATACTGAGGGTGGGAGGTTCAAACCCGGCCCCAGCCCCAGCCAAACTGCAACAAGAAAATAGTTGGGTGTTGTGGCGGGCCCCTATAGTCCCAGCTACTTGGGAGGCTGAGGCAAGAGAATTACCAAAGCCCAAGAGCTGGAGGTTGCTGTGAGCTGTGACACCACAGCACTCTACTGAGGGTGACAAAGTGAGACCCCAGCCAAACTGCAACAAAAAAATAGCTGGGTGTTGTGGCAGGCCCCTATAGTCCCAGCTACTTGGGAGGCTGAGGCAAGAGAATTACCAAAGCCCAAGAGCTGGAGGTTGCTGTGAGCTGTGACAACACAGCACTCTACTGAGGGTGACAAAATGAGACTATCTCCCAAAAAAAAGACATGCTACCATGTTTTCAAAATGCCAAATTGGTTAAAACACTTCCTCTAATAACATAGGTCTTCCCCCTCCCTCCCTCCTTTATCCCTAAAATTCAAATAGCTAATGTAAACCACAATTGTATTAAGACAAGAATAATCTTAGGTTCTGTGAGCTTCTGACACCAGTTGGACACTATAGCACAGGCAGGAGCACCTTCTGAGTCTACTGGGAAGAGAGTGCAGGAAATGGGAAGCATTACTCACCAACAGCAATGAAGTATAGGCAGCCATGATCCCAGCTACACTCAGAAAAATAATAGACCAGAAGATCCATTGTCCTGTTCCTATAAAAAAAACCCTGAAAAAGATGTGTTTCAGTCTTTAAAATATAGCAGAAATTAGTAGCATCTGTGTCCAGGATAGTGCAACACCAGACTAGCTGGAGCATAAAAAAATGACAACACATAAAAAGAAAAGCAATTTGTGAACAGATCTATGAAAGCTTTGGGGATATTTACCTGAGGAGTCTTAACTTTGTGTTCTATAGGCAACTGGGTGCATTAATGGGATCTGTATAAGTGGTAGGATTTTTTTTTTTGAGACAGAGCTTCAAGCTGTCCCCCTGGGTAGAGTGCCGTGGCATCACAGCTCACAGCAACTTCCAACTCCTGGGCTCAAACGAGTCTCCTGCCTCATCCTCCCAAGTAGCTGGGACCACAAGCACCCGCTACAACACCTGGCTATTTTTTGGTTGCAGCCACCATTGTTGTTTTTGGCGGGCCCAGGCTGGATTCGAACCCACCACCTTAGGTGTATGCGGGTGGCACCTTAGCCACTTGAGCCACAGGTGCTGAGCCTAAGTGGTAGGATTTTAAAAAGTTATTTAGAATATCTATTTTATTATGTCCTCTTCAAAAAAGCCAATATAATATATTCTAGAATGCCAGAAGAGAAAAAAATCATCCTATATAAGTTTACCACCTTAACAAAACTAATACTTTCCAACATGACAGGTTTCTTATTGATATGCATATATATTTTCTTACATAATTGCAGTTGCAGCTACCATATTAATTACTGTATTTTCTGAGAATTGGGCTCTTTTAAAAAAAAGTCCAGATTGTTCTGTTTCTAAAGTAGTGCTTGAGAGAAAATTGCCAAAGATTTGTTAAAAGGAAATAATATTATACTTGGTTTAGGATTTAGAATTTTCATTTCAAGAAAACAGAAATTACCTCATTTCCATACAAATCCTGGATAAGTTACCATTCAAATATAGGTTAGTGAACATATAACTACATTAAAAATAAGAAATTCTCCTTGGACAAAGGCTGTTAGATACAAGAGGAAGAAAGAAACAGGCAAGCAGCCTTACATAAGAAGTATCTCAGATCAAGACACAGGAAGAGGCTCGGCACCTATGGCTCAAGTGGCTAAGGCGCCAGCCACATACACCTAAGGTGGCGGGTTCGAATCCAGCCTGGGCCTGCCAAACAACAACGATGGCTGCAACCAAAAAAAATAGCCAGGAGTTGTGGCAGGCGCCTGTGGTCCCAGCTACTTGGGAGGCGGAGGCAGGAGACTCGCTTGAGCCCAGGAGTTGGAGGTTGCTGAGCTATGATGCCACAGCACTCTACCCAGGGGGACAGCTTGAGGCTCTGTCTAAAAAAAAAAAAAAAGACACAGGAAGATACTCTGCAGGAAGATGAGCTCACAATAAGGAATCAGAAAACATGTAAGGAAATTAACGAATGAAGCCAACAAAGAGAAGAACTTTCTATTAGGACACATAGTAATAGAACGATCAGAAAAAGCCACAAAAATAAACATATATATTTAAGATCTTCAAAAGAAGTAAAGGAAGAACTTGCATCAATGAAATATGAAAAGGATGTTTAACACAAATACAGCTATCAAAATCAAATAGAGCTCATAAAAAAATGAAATAAAAAAACATGAAATATAGCCTTAGATGTGGCCAAAGAATTAATCAAACAGCCTAGCCAAACAGTGATACTGACTTTGCTTTCCAAGTAACAAAGATGCATGCTTGAAATGACCTAAAGACAGAGGATACCCATTGCACAGGGACCCAACCCCTTGACAACTGGCAGTTTCGCTCATTATTAGGAGATATCCTTTCAGGCTAGGTACAAGCTTATCCTACCTGAATGGAGAGAACATCTAAAGTTCCAAGATGGGCTCCTACCAGAAGCTGCTGGCCCAAGATTAGGGCTTTGCTGAGTTCTTTCACTTGCATGTGATTAGCTGTTCAGGAAGAGGCCACGCGGATGGAGGTTTGCTGGTGCTGGGCAGGCAGCCGCAGAGGCAGCTCAGCAGCTCAGCAGCTCCTCCTCCAGGAATCACCGTGTCTGGCTGCTCTACAGCTGTGTCCATGGAGAACTTTACTGCCCGACATCTGCACTTAACTATGCTACACGGTGCCCTGTGGTCATCCATGAGCTTCTTTGAGTGAACCCCCCAAAGGAACCTGAAGGATAATGGGCCCTCCTTTGTAGCAGAGGTATCCCAGAAAGTAAGCAAAGCTCAACATCTAGGTTGAAAACTACACAGAACCCACCTAAAGTGGAATGAGGTGTTGCCGCCTGCCTCCCTCTGGCTTAAGTTCAGCCCCTAAGAGATAGTTTATGAGAGACCCTTCCTAGAACTCCAAGGTGAGTCCTACATTGCTCCTCCTCCCACAGATAAGGAAGGGTAAACTTGACAGTGGGGAGTATGTAACAGAGAATGGCTTGGGAATAAAAGGGATAAAAATGATTTTTGTCTCTTCAAAACCTCCTTACCCTTCTCTCAGAGAATTAAAACCTATATCCCTGCATCAGGCCAGTAGTCAGGAAGGGCAGGGGAATGTCTTTGGTTCTTTGTTCTGCAGGAGAGAGCTCGAGGGAATGGTCTGGGAAGAGGTCACAAGATCCTCTCAGCTGAAGATGGGCTTAATCCAGGTGGAGGTCATAAGACTGTCTTAACTGAAGAAGGAATGAATCTGAACAGAGGCCTCAAGATTGTTTTCGCCCCAGATGGGATTATGGGATTAATCAGAACCTTTAAAAGCTCTGTGCTTCTGTTCACAAGGGAGACCCTGGTATTTTTTGAGACAGGAGCCTGACAGTCTCCTCATCTGCCAACAAATTAATAAATTTCTCTTTCCTTCTCTTCAAAAAAAGAAAGAAAAAAAGAAAATTTAAGGTTTGTCATTTACTGGTACTTCTACTTTGTAAAATCATTTCACTGGTCCCATCAATATTTATTTTAATCCCTTTCAACTAAAAATTTTTCTTTAAGATATTTAATCACAAGCAAATATTACTATTGGTTTGATTTACCTCAAAGCCCTTCCACAAAACTCAGGTGAAGTTCCTACCACTTTCTGTGAATTAAAGGCAAAGAAAGAACTGTGCTCTGGTTTTTTCTCTTTCTCCCTCTTCTAACTCCTTCCTGGAGCAGCCATCTGTGCTTAGTCTTGGTGGTGGTGGTGTGAAGAAAAGGGAGTTGGAAGAGAGAAAAGGAGCTTGCTCACGTGACTGCCTGTATCCCGGTGGGAACTGCCTTTCTTGTCCATCGCTTCTTTAAACTGGGAGCACGCAGTGCTGATGACCATGCAGTAGGCTCACTCAGCATGGGCATGTCCAACTTAGGCTTCTTATGACTATTTTTAAGCAGTTCTCTTTCTGTTCAGGACCACTGCGTTACATGCCTCTCCCAGAACAATCACACACCCCTTACAGACACAGGCCTCCTCACTCAGCCCAGCCAGCCTTGGAACAGCCTAGTCAATGGAAGCCTCTCGTCTAGAATCTGCATTTTCTGCTCTAATGTTTATAGAAACCTTCCAAGACCTGTTCCTGCCTTCCTACATCTATGAAATAAAGCTTTCTTGCATTTTTCTCTAAAATATACCACAATGCTTTGTACCTGCATGACCAACTATCAGTTGACAATAACTCTAGACGAGAAAAAAGAACACATTGGTGGTTGAGGTATTAGAAACCTTCACATGGCAAGGAGTGGAGAGCAGGTCAAACTCTGTAACACACAGAGGTGAAAAAAAGAGAGAGAGCTCTGACATTAACCCTCACAAGAATCCTGCTCTCTCTAGCTAAGGGGGGCTAGAGAAGCTAAACAAAATGTCTTTAAAAATCTAAGTGAAGGCATCAGACATCTACTGGGCAGCGAAGAATTATGGAGCCAAGATCCAAATAATGAAGGAAATCCAGAGATAGCACATGGCATCTGGGGCACGTTTTCTTTAGAAGAACTGGGTAAGATACAGGAAGCTCTTATAAGCCTTGCAAGGCTAAGAGGAAAAAAAGGTGAGACGATAACCTGGTAAACATAATACACTTTGATTTGGGACCTCCCAGGGCCATATCCTAGGAGTAAACACAGACTGGAAATAGATTGGTTTGAGGGGCACTGAATCCCAGCTTTGAACCACCTAAATGTATAGAAGTGGATTAAGGTAAATAAGATTTAGTTATCTGTCAGAAGCCTTCCTCTGAGAGAATATAATATAATTCAAGGTCCCATATTACTTACATGATTTTTATATACAATGTCTGACACTAAAGCAAAAAGAATCAGATGTTAATGATGCCAAAAGCAGCAACGGGAAACATAAAAAGAGCTTCAGCAAATCTAGATAATGTAGGTATCAGACACAGCCTTCTAAATTAAAAACTTCAGCAAATAACTATAAAAAGGGGCTCAATTAAAAATTATAGAAAGGAAACTGGGCACAAGCTGGACTCACATCTATAATCCCAGTGGTTTGGGAATTTGAGACAGCAGGATTTCTTTAGGTTGAGACTTTGAGACCAGCTTGGGCAATATAGGAAGACCCCATCTCTATGAGAATGAAAATAAAAGGCCAGGCATGGTGGCTCACACCTATAATTCTAGCCCTCTGGGATACTAAGGCAGGAGAATTGCTTGAGTGTAGGAGTTTAAGACCAGCCTGAGTAAGAGTGAAACCCTGTCCCTACTGAAAAAAAAAAAGAAAGAAAGAAAGAAAGAAAGAAAAAACTAGTCAGGTATAGTGGTGCATGCCTATCCAGGTACTTGGGAGGCTGAGGCAAAAGGATTGCTTGAGCCCCAAAGTTTGAGATTGCTATGAGTTATGATGACGCCATGGCAATCTACCCAGGGTGACAGTAAGACTTTGTCTCAAAAAATAAAGAAAAAGAAGATAAAAAATAAATTAACCAGGGGTGATGGTACGTGCCTGTAGTCCTAGATACTTGGGAGGATGGGGTGGAAGGATCACTTGAGCCTAAAAGATCAATATTACAGCAAGCTATAATCGCACCACTGTACTACAGCCTGAATAACAGACCGAGA